CCTGCTGCCTTCTTTCTTTCATTCAATCAATAATGAATTAAACTAGCTATTGCTGACATGGGTGCCTCATCCATGGGGTCTCTCCAGACAAGAAGTGATGGAGAGCAGTGTGCACTGTGCTGGCTTGTCCTCTTACTGGGTACTCTGGGTTTAATACTATCAGGTTGATCTTTTGAGGATGCTCAGTGAGGTTATTAGCAGACTGCTCACAGTGAGTTGGAATACTTCCCCGGCAAGTTGAGGTACACACAGACTTTATGCACTCTTAGAAACTCAGTATGCAGAGGTCCCCAGGGTCACAGAGGCACCTGAGGGCTTGCTTCTCCTTTTTTGGTTATTCCTGCCCCATCTCAGGCTATGCTTTCTCATTCTGCAGTCCTCTCCAATGCCTCCTAATTTCCTGCTTACATAGATGGGAAATGAGAAGAACTTCGTTTGTTGGACCAGTCTTTAAAAAGTGAATGAAAAGACTCCCTGAGAAAAACATTAATACACACTCTCAAGGACTCTGTTCTCAACGCTTGTTTAGATTTCTTTATCTTGTGGTTTCCCTTTTCTCCCTGTGGCTTAGATAACTACTGTTGCCTGACCAGTCAAATCTAGAAATAAGAGGACCCTCCTGGGATAAGGGTTCCTTCTCTTTCCAGTTCCATGTGAAGTACATTCTTTAAGGTCCTTGCCTATAACAGAAACTTTCTTTCCTGGACAAATGGGATATAGAGAGTGAAAGCAGGTCCAACAAGCACCATGCCACAGTGGACCTCCAAGCGGGGATTTTCAAAGCACAAGCTCCAGGCTTGCGTTGAGGAAGTCATCGGCACCATCATTGGCAAATGCACTGCTTTCCTTTCCTTCCCCTCATTGTTCACAGAATGGTGTCTCCTGCAAGCCTAGGAGGAAGGATCCAGGCAGGAGGCTCTGTAATTGCTCCAGGGGTGGGAAAGGGCTGGTTTTATCAACAGAAGGGACTCCTTTCCAGGAGACCTCCTAATCCCATATTCCCCAGTCTCTCTAGGAGAGAGAAAAGGGAGAACAGAAAACAGAGACTCACTCTTTTCTATATCCCCACCACAAGTTTCAGATGTTCTAAACTGAAACTGAAGATTTGCATTCCTCTGTCTTTGCACAAAGTCAATTCCCTCTTTCACTGTGGCCCTGGCGGTTGTCCACAAATGCCATTTAATAGTGATACATCTAGCCATCTAATCTAAGGTGCCCACAACCGCTCAGAAGACCATCTGTCAAACAATAGGACTGGAGAATTCCCATAAAACCAGCCCTCCATCTTGTTCCTCAGGAGGCAGGTTACAGTGCTGAGAGAACTCTGGATTCAAATCCAGACTCCTCCTCTGCACCTGTTTTCCTGGAGCAGACTTAACTCCTGAGTGCCTGTCGCACCACCTACAGAGCAATGTGACTGTCCATCTGTGTGCATAAATTGTCAGAATTCCCAATGGAGAGCCTTCCTGTGCCATGAGCTCCATTTTAGAGCACTAGAATAGGGCTTTTCACGTTCTGCTTTCTTACATCTAAAATTACTTTTTCCCAGCAATACATACTGTTTTTTTTTAATTTTTAAAGAAGAAATTTTTCTTTCTTTTTGAAAACTAAGGCAGTAGTGATATTTCCTAATCGTGCTAACACCTTCATGTCAGTACAGTCCAGTGATGAAATACCAAGATTCTACTGCTCAACTGCCCAGGTCCAAATCCCATTTGGCAAAAACATGGGTCAAACGTGTTATTAAGGGTCTGGGAAGATGGCTCAGTGGGTAAAATGCCTATTGCACAAACATGAGGACCTGAGTTAAGATGTCATGGCACCCATGTAAAAAGCCAGGCATAGCAGCACATGCACGCAATCCCAGCACTGGAGAGGTAGAGGCAGAGGATCCCTGAGGTCTGCTGGCCAGCCAATTTAGCAGAATTGGTGAGCGCTGGGTTCAGTGAGAGCTCCTGCCTCAAAAACTAGTGAAGAAAGACTGAAAAAAAAAAAAAAAAAAAAGACAAAATTAACCTTTGGCTGCTACACACAGGCATGCATGCACCACACA